CTCGACTTGGCGCACGAGACGGTCGAGTTGCTCCTGCGTCAGTGTCGCGAGAGTAAATTCGGCCATGGCGGGGGTGTCGGGCAAGCTCAGCGAGAGCCTCGGTCGTGGCCGTGCGTGCTTTCGAGAGAGCACTTCGAGCGGCGGTGCTTGTTCGCTGAGAGACGTCTACCCCCCGCAAAAATTTGAGATAGTGGGGAAGCGAAGGTGTGGGTGCGGTCAGAGAAGAGATCGTAGGCTCTGAATACCAAGTGTTACAAGTGCAATTGAGTGAACGAGCGAGAATTGCACTATCGAAGCAAGAGTACAATGAGCGAAGAATATATAGCGAAACTACGGTGGTAAGGGTAAAGTGGGAAATTGAGGTGCGCTACGGGCCTAGCGTCGAGGTTTGGAGAATTGTCGAGGCGGAGGTCCGGAGCGCGGGTTACCAACCGAACCGTTAGGTTGGGTCGCGTCGTGAACAGTGGCAGGAGTCGTGGTCGAGGCGAGTGTCGTGAACGGGTAACGTGCATGGATGGGTGCTGATGGCGGGAACGGTTATGTACGCGGTAAGCAGGGACGCGAAGTAAGGAAAATGAATTTTCCTTACAAAGATCAAGGACCTTGAACACAAGAAGTAAGCGTGCTCAGCAGGATTCGAACCTGCGCGGGCAGAGCCCACAAGATTTCTAGTCTTGCCCGATAACCACTCCGGCATGAGCACACATTTAAGGAATGCGTCTAAATTTATAGTTTAAAAGACACATCCAGAATTACCGTGTCGCCCCCAAAACTGTCACCACTTTCACGTGATTGGTCGAAGGTTTTGAGTGGGTTTTTGACGCGATTGGTTCTCGATTTTCCCACCAAACCTACTTCTGGGGTTTTCCGAACGTACAATTTTTTCGTTGACTTCGTTGTGTAATTCGGGGTGTGGCCTTTAAAGCGACGGTCAACTTTTGGCAGTGTTGGGTTCAGAAGTTTTTTTTTTGAACCAGGCTTGCCAGCGCGAAAGTGCTGGCTGGCGAAAACCAGGATTTCGTGCGGACACTTTCCATCCGCAGTAACAGTTCGCCAGGGTTCTGGGTTTTGGGTGGCAAATGTGCACCGTCGCTTTAAAGGCGGGGTGCAACTTCTTAGGAACAGTAGGGGGACAAAAATGGCATGTGAGTAACTTGAATTCTATTGGACGAAAAAACTGGAAAACCAGAAGAGGACAAACTTCTCGGCTCTGAACTGCCTGGGTCAACCTCTTCCAAGCTATAATACTTTGAAGTTGAAGTTGATAGTTGGGCCACGGCTTTAAGGGAGCTCAAAACGAATCGACATCGACAGGCCTGCTGTCATCCAACCAAGCCGCGTGCATGATGTGGCAGGCAATGAGACGCCCGTCGGTCCGACATCTCTAGTGCTGCTGAGCTGATGTCGACTGCGCGAACATCGGGTCGGCCATTCGCCTGATGCCACGTCTTTTTGGCGCAATCTGGTGGTCGGACGGAGACCGGCAACAGGCTGGCAGGCGGACACGAAGGCGCCACAAGCGCCTTGTACACGTGCTGCCGCCGATACCCCTTACAAAACGAGGTTGCCGCGTTGACTGGGTCAACGAAATGGTCAACGCGTCGTGATTTCGATTGAATTTGAACACCCAATCCCCAGCCACCCTTCTCTATTCTGCTCGTCTGGTCTTGCATTTTCGTTCTCTGCTGAAACCTTCCCCTGCAAGGTAAGTGTACAGCCATAACAGAAAATAGACGAGCACGGATGAGCGTGCTGCTGGCATCCCCCGCACACATGGGTGCAGATAATAGCTTCTTGGGAGATTCCATTTGTGACTTTCGACGCCTGTAGCCACACAAGCTCGCCAAGCCAATCGATCCATATTACTTTACTTCCTCTCCGTCACACTTGACTATTATTTCTCTTCGTTTATTGCCATCTTGATCGAAGCATCAAGGTTGAAGCCACTACAACAAGCTTATTTTCCCAAAATCCACCAAATAAACTCCTCGATCCATAATTATTCTCCAACTCTCTCTCTCACCATGACTACGTTTCGTCCGGTCGAGGAGTTTCTTTTCGAATATAAGATGCACGAAGAGCTTGGAACCGGGAGATTTGGAAGGATTACGCGATGCACTCATCGCGCAACGGGAAAAGATTTCGCATGCAAGCGCGTTTCGGGGCAACCGGACGCGCTGCGAGCCGCAGCCAACGAGATCCGCGCTCTAACGATCATGGACGGATGTCAGCACGTCGTCTCCTTTCACGCCGTCTTCCGTAACCCTAAATCGAACACCCTGTACATCATAATGGATTTCGCTACAAACGGGGATCTGCAGGGGCTTGTGCACGCGAACGGCGCTTTACCCGAGTGGGAGGCGCGACGGCTGTTCAGAGATTTGGCGCACGGAGTGAAAGAGTGTCACGATCGCAGCGTCATGCACCGCGATATCAAACCAGACAACGTGCTTCTCTTCTCGCGCGCGTCGCCGGACGATTCCGCTGCATCCTCGCTACAAGAACCTCCGAAACCGAGTCCCAACCCTCTTTCGTTATCGTCTAATACATCCTGTGGGTCATCCCCAACGTATGCGACGATTGACCTGAACCAGGACGATTTTCCTGAGCCGAACAACCGTGCCTCTCCGACCGGCCCGCTTTCTCCGAACGTTCCTCCTTCGCCCAGACGACCTGGCCAGGACCGATTTGTTGTGCCCCAAGCAGATGCACGGGAAACAGAGATAATTGCGAAGCTCGCGGATTTCGGGAGTTCCGTGGTCGTGAAGCCGTGGCAACGCACTCAGGGTTTCGTGGGGAGTCTCCCGTACGCGGCGCCTGAAATTTTGGCGGGAGCTAATTATTCGTTTTCGGCAGACGTGTGGAGTCTTGGCGCGACGCTCTTTGCGATCCTCTCCTGCCGCTGGCCCACGGTGATCAACGGTCGACATTCGTCCAAGGACTGGGAAATGTCTTGTTGGATCTCCGTCTTTCACCGGGCGAAGAATCTCATCTGTCGGATGCTGTCCGCGGACGCAAATCGACGGCCGAAAATCGAAGAAGTATTGGCGGATCCATGGCTTTGCAGCTGTTCTGCTCAGCGTCTGTCGTTTCGTGAAGAAGCACGGCTCGCTGCCATGGCTCTAGGCGTATTTGCTAGCTCTGGGAGAAGTGACAACAATTCCTCCCAGTCTCGAGTAGGAGTTCTGACTGCATCTGGAGGAGCTGCGGGAGAGATGGTCCCCTTTCCGCAGCCTCGTGCGACTCTGGCATCACGACTTCTCCCTCAGCGATGGTTGCGAACGCACGATTTCCAGTGAGGGTCGTCAATCGTAACATTTCATTCGTGTCAAAATTGAAATTGGTAGGTGCGGAGATAAAATAAGAGAAGTCTCAATATTGATTTCTATATGTAGACTCATTCTGTTTTACGAATCTGCTTGTTATTGATGCTTATTCCTGAATTCGCTATATCGATTCGAAGAACGCATCAGGGCCAGGAAAGAGCTCCATTCCCCGCCACGAGAGGCGTGCGTGCTACCCGCTCCGTCCCACACACTCGCACAAGCCCAAAAAAACTCAGGTGCAGATATGAACGAGATGCCTGTCTCTAGGCCACTCTCCTTGGCAATGCTCTAGCTATTGAACTTGCCTCTAGTTCCTACAGCTGCGGCGTACGACAGTCTAGTCGCCGAGTTCGAAGATCTCAAGTTGTGTACGCTCATGGCCTCTGTCGTTACCCCGCCGGTTCTGCTTCAGTAATCCGAGTAATTCGAGTGTGATCCGAGTGATCCGAGTGATTCGAGTGTGATTCGAGTGATTTGCGTGATTCGCGGCGCTTGTCTGACCGATCGTTGCTGTTCGTGAAGGACGACGACGAGGCGCTGATTTTGTAGTCATGAATCGACGAAAGCCCGTCGCGTCGCTCGTTTCGCACGCGATCGCCGCCGCTTCGCGCCGCAATTATCAGCGCGGCTGCGGCGGAGGTTCCATTCCTCTGCGAAAGTTCGTTGTTGCGTCAAATCATGCCGAGCCTGCGATTCAGCCTCGGCGAGAAGGCCCGGAACAGGCGAAAGGAGTTGGATCAGGGTATAGCCTAGGAGCTGGTTCGGAGAGAGGTGTGCCAGCGGAACCTAGCGCTGGATCGGGTGCACGCCTGGTAGCTGGTTCGGACGCGGATTCTACATCTGCGGCTTTAGCAGGCTCGACAACAGGTTCGGGAGTACGCTCGCCAGCTGGTCCGGCAGCAGCCTCGGCATGGGGCCTGAGATCTGTGGCGGGAGCATCGACGCGAAGAGGATACGGGAGGGCAGGAGTGGTCACTTGCTTACCTGTTTTCACTCAGGGGCATACGAGGCGCGCCTATGGATCTATTAACGGGCTGGCGGGGAGTGTCCCCGCGGGAAATGCGGCGGGGAGTGCGGCGGGGGGTGCGGCGGCGATGGCGGGAGTGGAGGTGCGTCGGGTGAGGGCGACGACGGGGCTGTTCGGGTACGAGGAGCTGAGCGAGCCAAAGGGCTTCCATCGCATGGCCGCCAACGCCATCGCCAGGTGGGTGGGGATTCTTTGCTTGACGTCCCTCAAAACCGCGTGAAAGCAGACGAGTTTTGGGTCGTCTGAAAAGACGGGGCTGTTCGGGTACGAGGAGCTGAGCGAGCCCAAGGGTTTCCATCGCATGGCTGCCAATGCCATCGCTAGGTGGGTAATATTCCCTTTCTGAGTCGACTTTTGAGTTGGCTTGGAAGTCACCTCGTCTTGCGAAAAAATTTCCTGGTTCGAACTTTGGGGACTCTTTTTCTAAGCGCCTTAGCTGTGGGATGGGTTAAGGGCTTTTGAGTCGATTCAAGAGTCACCTCGTTTTGAGTCGATTGGAATGTCACCTTGTTATGTTCTTCTCCCTACTTGAAACACGCTCCTCGTTTTCCTCTCTCTCACTCACCTCTTCTTTCCTTGATCCCCCCCTATTCTTCTCCTGCTCGGCGCATGTGCGGTGCTGTACGGTGCTGCACGGTGCGGGGCAGGACGGAGGCTCTACTGCAGGAGGTGGCAGCAGCACCCCCATCTCTGCGCACCGTGTGTCTGCTGGACGAGATGAGCGACACTGTACGTGAATGGATGAGCATTGCAGGCCTGCAGGGTATGAGACAAGACTTTGCTTTTCTTCCATCGGCCTCCCCCGCTGCGCACCGTGTGTTTGCTGGACGAGATGAGCGACACTGTACGTGAATGGGTGTAAATGAGCATTGCAGGCCTGCAGGGTATGAGACAAGACTTTGCTTTTCCTCCATCGGCCTCCCCCTCTGCGCCTGCCTGCTGGACGAGATGAGCGACACTGTACGTGAAGGTGTGAATGAGCATTGGATGGCACCACGGTAAGAGACCCTGCTTTTCCTCCATCTGCCTCCTCCTCTGCGCACCGTATGTCTGCCTGCTGGACGAGATGAGCGACACTGTACGTGAATGGGTGTGAATGTGCATTACAGGGTATCTTTGCTGTACTTGCCTTCTCCTGTAGTTGCTTCTGGTTCGAGTGATAGGCTATGCATATGTGAGTGTGCTGTGCGCACCCCCGCTTCCCCCCCCACTACCCACCCCCCCACACCCCCCCCCCCTCTCCCCCCCGGTCCAGCCTCCAAAATCCTAACGACGCAGCTGTGTCGAGTCCTGGATGCAGCAAAGATCTATTAACATCTATTAAGATCTATTTAGGCACCTCCGAACTCCCCCACGCCCGGCTGAACCCCCCCCCCCACCCTCCTGAATCCCAACGGCGCAGCTGTGTCGAGTCCTGGATGCAGCAGAGCTCTATCAAGGCGCCTCACAACCCCCCCACATCGCGCGTAACCCTACCCTACCTCCGACCCCCTCGCTTTTGACTCTCATCTGTGCAGCTGTGTCGGGTCCTGGATGCAGCAGAACTCTGCCGGAACGTGCACCCCAACAGGTAAGCACGGCACACACACGCTCTTGCTCATGCTCATTCCCATGCCCATGCCCTGGCTCATACACATATGCTCATGCTTATGCTCATGCTCATGCTTATGCTCATGCTCATGCTTATGCTCATGCTTATGCTCATGCTTATGCTCATGCTTATGCTCATGCTCATGCTCATGCTCATGCTCATGCTCAAGTATGTAAACCCAGGTGATGATTGTGATAATTCTGATGTTTTGATGACATGTACGGCCTGGTTCTTTTTAATAAACACGTTGTTTTGATATGTATCACTTGTTTTGACGACGACAATGATGGTGGTTGTGCGACTGTGCGCAGGGAGTTCGTAGACGCGGCCAATGAGGCGTTTGTGAAGCTGTCAACATATGTACAGGTCAGTTGTCACACTTAGGGAGTTGCGGCCAGGGAGTTCTTAGCACTATCATGCTATTCGTTGCTGCCATGCCATTCTATGCCGTACCATGCAATAACATGCCATACCATGCCATAACATGCCATACCATGCCATAACATGCCATACCATGCCATAACATGCCATACCATGCCATACCATGCCATACCATGTCGTCGCATGCGATGCCATGCCATGGCCCCCTTGACGTCTTGTCCTTGTGACAACGCTGAGGGAGGGGAAGGGAGGAGGGGGGAAAGTGGAAAACTTTCGAGGCAAAGGATGCACCCCTCTCTCCCTCTCTCCTCTCCTCACTCACTCCTCACTCCCCCCTCACTTCCCCCTCACCCTCTCTCTCCTCCCTCCCCCCGGTCAGGCCCTCAACTCCAACCAGCAGCTCTACCGTCTGCTAGTCGCTGCCATCCAAGCCATGCCACCCGCACCCGCCGCCTCTGCCTCCTCTCCGCTGCCCGGTGGCAACTCTCGCCTGCAGGGGACTGCAAGGGCAGCAGAAGGGGGAGGGGAGAGGGAGGAGGTGCTGAGGGAGGCTCACAGGGTCGCTCAGCTGCTGCGGCTGGACTTTGAACGAGGGGGCGTGCATCTCCCTGATGGTGAGCATGTTTTCAGAAAGAGGATTTGTCAAAGAGACTCTTAGAGACGCCTCAGAAAGGGGGTTATGATAGCAGGGCGAGGGGGAGGGATGAGGTACTGTACTGAGGGAGGCTCACTGGTTTGCTCAGCTGCTATTGCTGGACTTTAAGTCAAACAGAGGAGGCTCTTGAAGGGGTGCTGTGTTTTCATTTTCACAGAGATGGGGAGCTGTGTGCTTAAAGTCTACCCTGCCTGCCTTTGACTGACTCTTCCCGTTTCTCTACTTTTCTCCTCATGCCCCCTCTCGTTCACCTGTGCGCCACTGGTGTATATGTACTTGTGTGGGGTTGCAGACCGCAGGGAGGAGGTGCAGCGATTGACAGGGGAGATTACCCACACTTCAATCGAGTGAGTGAAAGAGAGAACAAGCGTGAGTCGATCTTTGAGTCAACTCAAAGAAGGGAAGCGGTGCAGTGCAGCGACTAGCGGGGGAGATTACCTGCATTTTCATAGAGTGAGTGAGAGAGAGAGAAAACGAGTGAGTGGGCGAGAGGGAGAGAGAGGGCAAGAGTAAGCGAGGAGGGAGCAAGAGCCAGTGTGGGAGGGAGTTAATGAAAGGGAGGAAGAGAGAGAGCGAGAAACAAGCATTCATGCTTCTCTGTTACCGTCTCTGCTACTTTAAACACCACCATCTCTCCCTCCAATCGTACTGCTTTTTTATTCGCCTCAAATATCACGTCTCTGCTACTTTTAACACTGCCATCTTTCCCTCTAATCATACTGCTGTCTCTTGACTCCCTTCTTCCCTTCTCTCTCCCCACCCTTCTTCCATTCTCTCTCCCCCCCCTTCTTCCCTCCTCCTCCCCTCCCACCCTCCCCACTCCCCGCTTCCCCACCCACAGGTTCAACGCCAACATCCACTCAGACTCGGCCTCCATAGAGTGTTTCCTTGCAGCCCCTTTTGCTGATGCCGCAACTTCGCTTCCCGCCTCGCCTCTCTCTTCCTCCGTCCCCAACCCCTCCCCACCCTCCCCCACCCACAGGTTCAACGCCAACATCCACTCCGATTCAGCCTCCATAGAGGTCTTTCCTTGCAGCCCCTTTTGCTGATGCCGCAACTTCGCTTCCTGCCTCCCTCGTCCTCCGTCCCCAACCCCTCCCCACTCCTCCCACACATAGATTCAACGCCAACATCCACTCGGACTCGGCCTCCATAGAGGTCTTTCCGCGCAGTGCCCTGCACGCCCTGCCTCCCAACGTGCATGCCATGCTGCAACCCATTCAGCGTAGCAAGGCCGGCACCAGCAACAGTGGCAGCGGCAGCAGCAGCAGCAGCAGCAGCGGTTCCTGTACAGGCAGCAGCAGTAGCTCTAGAGTCATCACCAACAGTGATCCTTCCCACAGCAGTGCCAGGGAGGGAGCAGAAGGCAGGGAGAGTGCCGGTAACGGGAGCAATGCTAGCAGTAGTACCACCAGCAGCAGCGGCAGCGGCAGCAGCAGCAGCAGAGGCACCGGTACCAGCAGCGGCGGTGGCAGCTCCAGCAGTAGTGGGGCGGCCAAGGAGTTAGGGTACAAGGTGTTCTCAGACCCGCTGGTCACATCGTCCGTGCTCAAATGGGTTGATGATGAAGAGGTATGTATGGGTGTGTCTGTGTGACGTGCTGGTAAGGGGAGCAATGCTAGCAGTACTAGCAGTAGCAGCAGGAGCAGTGGCAGTTCCAGCAGTAGTGGGGCGGCCAAGGAGCTAGGGTACAAGGTGTTCTCAGACCCGCTGGTCACATCATCCGTGCTCAAATGGGTTGATGAGGAGGTATGTGTGCGGTGCCACGCCATGCTGCTACCCTGCTGTGAACCTCTTGAGGCGTCTGGAAAGGTGTTCTCACACCCGTTGGTCACATCATCCGTGCTCAAATGGGTGGACGATGAGGAGGTATGTGTGTCTCTGCATGTGTCTGTGTGCTGTGCCGTGCCGTACCCACTGGTTCCTGCGCCCTCCCGCTGCTTCTACCCTTCCTGCAGCCAATGTTACTGCCTTCCCCCTTCCTTTTCTTCTCCTCCCTCGCTCGCACCATCCATGCCAATAAATTGAATTTAGTCGGTTTCCCCATTTTACTGGTCGTGTCCATCCCATCCCAACCCATATCCCATCCAACCACATCCCACCCCACTCCACCACACCCCATCCCGCAGGTGCGCCGGCGTGTGTACGTACTAGCCAACGCCTCCCCAGGATCCAACCTGCACCAGCTAGACCGCCTCATTGACCTGCGCTCGCAGCTCGCCAAGGTGCGCCCTCCCTCTCATCAAACGCACATCTCATCAATGCTTCTCTTCTCTCATGGCCGGAACACCCGAAGCTGCTGTGGACTGCTGTTGACTGCTGTTGACTTCTGTTGACTCACGAGTCTTCTCACTTCATAACCCTCACTTGTCCTCTCCTTCACTCCTCCCACGGTCCACCCCTCTTTCTACCAGGAGCTCAGCTTCCCCTCATACGCGCATCTCATCAACGCTCCCCTCATGGCCAGAACACCTGAAACTGCTGTTGACTCATTAGTCTGCTCACTTCTAGACCCCCACTCGTCCTCTCCTTCACTCCTCCCACGGTCCACCCCTCTTTCTACCAGGAGCTCAGTTTCCCCTCATACGCGCATCTCATCAACGCGCCCCTCATGGCCAGAACACCCGACACCGTCGACTCCTTTCTGCACAACCTGGGAGCACAGCTCACACCCAAGGTCTTCCAGGTGGGTTCACGAGCAGAGGGGTGCCACAGACATGGAAACGAATCGTGATTTATCCTGTTACAAGTGCTGCGTCAATGTTGTGTGACACCCTTTTGAGGCGCCTCAAAAGTCGATGCTGTGTGGCACCCGACACCGTCGACTCCTTTCTGCACAACCTGGGAGCACAGCTCACACCCAAGGTCTTCCAGGTGGGTTTACGAGCAGAGGGGTGCCACAGACATGGAAACGAATCGTGATTTATCCTGTTACAAGTGCTGCGTCAATGTTGTGTGACACCCTTTTGAGGCGCCTCAAAAGTCGATGCTGTGTGGCACCCGACACCGTCGACTCCTTTCTGCACAACCTGGGAGCACAGCTCACACCCAAGGTCTTCCAGGTGGGGTGGCGTGGCGTTGGTGCCGCCAGTGAAAAGTATAGTACAGCATCATGTGCCGGTCACAAGTGCTGCAGTCGATGTTGGGTGACACACTCAAGGCGCCTCAAAAGCAGCACTCTTTTCTGCACAGCCTTGGGGCACAGCACAGCTCACGCCAAAGGTCTTCCAGGTGGGGTGGCGTGGCGTTGGTTCTTCTGCCAGTGAAAAGTATAGTACAGCATCATGTGCCGGTCACAAGTGCTGCATGCCGGTCAAAAGCAACACTCCTTTCGGCACAACCTGGGAGCACAGCTCACGCCAAAGGTCTTCCAGGTGGGGTGTTGTTGCTTTGTTGCTATAAAGCTGCAGGTACGAGTTAGTCTCATGACTCTTGGGTTTGGTCGACTCAGATAAAGAAGAGCTCTTCTCTTCTTTCTCACATCCTTGCTTTCGTTCGCCAACAAGCACATGGTCGGCTCGGCACATCCGCGTGTGATGAGTCGATTTCTGAGTCGACTCATCCCACGCGGAGCTCCTCTCATATGCTTCTCTTATCGTCAACTCTGCTTTCGCCAACAATCACATGGTCGGCACATCCGCGTGCGATGAGTCGATTTTTGAGTCGACTCATCCCACGCGGAGCTCTTCTCTTCTCGTGTCGTCAACTCTGCTTTCGCCAACAATCACATGGTCGGCTCGGCACTGTCTTTCTCATCGCAGGAGCTGCAGCAGCTGGGGGCGCTGTAGAGAGGCAGCACAGGGGGGAGCGGGAGATGATGCCTAGCAATGATTCTTAACTGCTCTCTTGTTCAAGCAACCCCGTGGTTGGTTTGGTTTGGCACTCTCTGTTTTCGCAGGAGCTGCAGCAGCTGGGGGCGCTGAAGAGGCAGCACAGGGGGGAGAGGGGTGCGAGCAGAGGAGGGGCCAGCAGCAGCAATGGTGGGGGAGATCCGACAGTGTTGCATGCGTGGGACCGGTCTTTCTTCTCTGGGCTTGCCAAGGCCAGACGCTTCCACCTCGACTCACGAGTGAGCGGTGGGGAGGGGTTAGGAGGGGTGGGGAGGGGAGGGTGTGGATGGGTGGGGAGAGGCTGAACATGAGGGCTGGATGGATGGATTGAGCGTGGAAGGTCGTTTTTGAGGCGCCTCAAAAACGACCTCAATGAGCGTGGAAGGTTCTGCCGTTGCTGGTGCTGTCGTTGCTGTCATGGGAGTGAAAGAGCGTGGCAAGTTCTGCTGCTACAGTGTATGTTTGCTGCTGCCGCCACTGCCTCTCAGACCTAGCCACATCCTCGCCCCTTCCCTTCTTTCCCTCACACGCCCACGCCCATTCCAAACACCCACCACCAGGTGATCTCGTCCTACTTCCCGCTACACGCCTGTGTGCGCGGCATGGCAGTGCTGGTCAAGTCGCTCTTCAACGTTCACCTAGAGCCCGTTCCCACAGCGCCTGGGGAGGCCTGGGCGCCTGATGTGACCAAGTTCTCGCTCACGCACGTGGACCAGGTGACGGTGGGTTGGGATGGGGGGGGGATGGGGACAGGGACTGGAAATGGCGAGTTGTAGGCGCCTGATATGACCAAGTTCTCGCTCACGCACGTGGACCAGGTGAGGAAAGGTCTTTCTTTGGTGCCTTTTGAGTCCACTCAGAAACAGGGACTGCGAAGGGTGAGGGTGGGCGCCTGGCGAAGCCGGGCGAGGCCTGGGCGGGGCGGGCGCCCGACGTCACCAGGTTCTCCCTCACGCACGTGGACCAGGTGAGGGTGGGTGGGGATGGCGACAGGGACTGGAAATGGCGAGGTGTAGCGAGGTGTGGCGAGGTGTGGCGAGGTATAGGCACCCAACGTCACCAAGTTCTCGCTCACGCACGTGGACCAGGTGAGGGTGGGTTGGTCTCAGCTGGTACGTGAATGGTTGGTGCCACGTGGATGATCAGGTGAGGGGATATGAGTCATGTCATGACCAGGCTCCCACGTGCGTGCACTGCATTCCCTGCATGCCTGTGGCATGGCATGGCCCTTGCTAGACTCTTACGAGCAAGCTGAGCCTAGCCTTCCCCCTCTCGCCTTCGTATGCAAGACCATTGCAAGGCCGTCTTGTCTTGGTACATTACCTGCCTTCTTCCTTCCCCTCCCCATCCCCTCCTCCTCACCAGGGCCCTCCGGCCTTCATCTATCTGGATCCGCACCCGCGGAGGGGCATTTGTTCCCCACTCTCCTTGCTTCACCAACCCCTCTTCTCCCCTCTCGCCAGGGCCCTTCATCTATCTGGATCCGCACCCGCGGAGGGGCATTTGTTCCCCACGCAAACTCACACCATCCCACACTTTGAATTCTTCCCCTTACCACCCACCGTCATCCCCTTGCTTTTCCCCCATCCCTCACCAGGGCCCTCTGGGTTTCAACTACCTGGACCTGCACCCACGTCGCGGCAACTTCTCCCGTTCAGCTCACTTCACAATCCCACACTTTCAATTCTTCCCCTTACCACCCACCCTCCTCCCCTTGTTCCTTCCCCCTCCGCACCAGGGCCCACTGGGTTTCATCTACCTGGACCTGCACCCACGTCGCGGCAACTTCTCCCGTTCAGCTCACTTCACAATCCCACACTTTCAATTCTTCCCCTTACCACCCACCCTCCTCCCCTTGTTCCTTCCCCCTCCGCACCAGGGCCCACTGGGTTTCATCTACCTGGACCTGCACCCACGGCGCGGCAAGTTCTCCCACGCGGCACACTTCACCATCCGCTGCGGCCGCAGGAAGCACCTGCCCCTGGACAGCAAGGGACACCTGCTCCCGCTCCCGCCTTCCTCGACGGGTTCCCACAGCGGCAGCGGCAGCAGCAGCAGTGACGACTACCAATTGCCGGTGAGTTGGGCCTGGCTTTGTTGTGCCTCCGGCGGGCACAGGAAGCACCTGCCTCGGGACAGCAAAGGTCACCTGCTCCCGCTCCCCCCTTCAGTGACGAGTTCCCACAGCGGCAGCGGCAGCAGCAGCAGTGACGACTACCAATTGCCGGTGAGTTGGGCCTGGCTTTGTTGTGCCTCCGGCGGGCACAGGAAGCACCTGCCTCGGGACAGCAAAGGTCACCTGCTCCCGCTCCCCCCTTCAGTGACGAGTTCCCACAGCGGCAGCGGCAGCAGCAGTGACGACTACCAGTTGCCGGTGAGTTGGGCCTGGCTTTGCTGTCCCTCCGCTGCGGGCGCAGGAAGCACCTGCCGCTCGACAGTAAAGGTCACCTGCTCCCGTTCCCCCCTTCCTCTATGAGTTCCCACAGCGGGAGCGGCAGCAGCAGCAGTGACGACTACCAATTGCCGGTGAGTTGTGCTGTGCTGTGCTGTGCTGTGCTGTGCTCTGCTGTCTTCTGTTGCAGTATCTGCAGGTCGCGGCGCTAGTGTTCAACTTTGCAGCGCCCCCTCACCATGCCTGCTGTTCATCCTATGTGTGTATCCCACACACCCACTCCCATCCCAGTGCTTGCTCCTACTCTCTCTACCACCTCCGCAAACCACAATCACCTCTCCCACCAGGTCGTGGCGCTAGTGTGCAACTTTGCGGCCTCCTCCCGCTCCTCGCCCTGCCTGCTAGCGCACCACGACGTGGAGACGCTCTTCCATGAGTTCGGCCACGCGCTGCACTCGCTGCTCTCCCGCACCGTATGTCACACTGCCATGTGCATGTGTGTGCCATGTGCATGTGTGTGTCGTGTGCTGGTTCTCTGCTGAGAAAGAGGCGACACATTAGGGATCAGCCATGCCTGCTAGCGCATCACGACGTGGAAACGCTCTTCCATGAGTTCGGCCACACGCTGCACTCGCTGCTCTCCCGCACCGTACGTCTGTCTGTCTTTGAGGCGCCTCAAAAGTAGTCCCACGGACGAAATGTATGTCTTGTCTAGTTGCGGTGCTCGGGGCCTGTTGTTTGTGGGGGGTTTGGGGAGGCGAAGGGGGGGGGAGGGATTCCTTGTTGCTATGCTACTGCTGCACTCCCTGGTTTCCAGCCCCACTTCCGCTTTTCCCCCACAGTCCTTCCAGCATCTATCGGGGACAAGAGTAGCTCTCCCTCCCCTCCCTGCTCCCTCCCGCCTGTTATTATCCCCACTTCCCCCTCCCCCTCCTCCTCCCCCTCCCACCCCCACTCCCCCTCCCCCCCCCCCTCCCCCTCCCCCACAGGCGTTCCAGCATCTATCGGGAACGAGAGCAGCATTGGACTTTGTGGAAGTGCCCTCCAACCTGCTAGAGTGAGTGCGCTGCACTGCACAGCTTGGCTTGGCTTGCTCAAGGCGACATGTTTTAAGGGTGTAGAATTCTGCTTGTTGTGTAAAAAAAAAAAAAAAAAAAAAAAAAAAAAAACCGCGCATTCTGCCCTTTGCCCCCTCCTGCTTCTGATCTTCCCCCCACTTTTTCTCCAACCGTTGCTGGCAATGCCATGGCCTGAGACCCCTCTCTCACTCGCTCCCTCACTCACTCATGTCATTGCCCCTTCTTCCCGCCCTCTTCTCCCTGCCCGACCTAACCTTTCTTTCTCCCTTCCACCCCATCCCATCGGCCTCTCCCTCTCTTCCCATCCCCCCCGCCCTCTCCCCTCCCCCGCAGGTACTTCGTGTGGGACCATCGCTTCCTGGGTCAGTTTGCAGTGCACCACTCCACGGGCGAGCCCATCCCCCATCCCCTCCCTCTACATATCTCTATCACTCCCTCTCCCTGCCCTCTCTCTGTGCCCCCTCCCCTCTCCCCTCCCCCGCAGGTACTTCGTGTGGGACCATCGCTTCCTGGGCCAGTTTGCAGTGCACCACTTTATGAGCGAGCCCATCCCCCATCCTCTCCCTCTGCAAATACCTCCACAACAGGCTCATTACTCTTCCTCTCCCTGCCCCTATCCCTTGTTCCTCTCCCCCTCTCCCCTCCCTCGCAGGTACTTCGTGTGGGATCATCGCTTCCTGGGTCAGTTCGCAGTGCACCACTCCACGGGCGAGCCCATCCCGCGCTCCCTTGTGGACTCTCTAAGAGCGTCTAAGTCCATGCTCGCTGCCTCCGACCTGCAGACACAGGTAAGGGTTCTGTGAAAAAGGATGGTGGTAACCGGATTCAGCTAAGGGGGTGTCTACAGGAGAGCCCATCCCCCGCTCCCTCGTGGACTCCCTCAGGGCGTCCAAGTCCATGCTCGCTGCCTCCGACCTCCAGACACAGGTAAGGGTTCTGTGAAAAAGGATGGTGGTAACCGGATTCAGCTAAGGGGGTGTCTACAGGAGAGCCCATCCCCCGCTCCCTCGTGGACTCCCTCAGGGCGTCCAAGTCCATGCTCGCTGCCTCCGACCTCCAGACACAGGTAGAAAAAACCCATCGGTGGTCCTTGTTGGTCTTTGTGTGCCTGCAATTAACGCTCAGACTATCAATAGAATTTGACCTCTCGGTCCGGAATGTGCTCGTTAAGTAGAGAGAAGTGAAGTTGGTGGTGCTGTGGTGTGGTGATATCCCTTCCTAACCTTGCATCCCCTTACCTACCCTCTTTCCAGGTAGTCTACTCCCTCATGGACCAAGCTTATTTCGGGGTAAACCCCCCGCGCCCCACATCCTCGTTACTAACGCCCTCGCTATCGTCGCAAGCAGCTGCAGCAGCCATGGCAGCCGGAGCAGCAGCAGGTGGTGGTGCTGGTGGCGGCAGCAGTGGGAGTGGAAGGGACACAACGGCAGTAATGGCGGATCTGATGGGGAGATATATGGGTGTGGCACATGTTCCTGGCACGTACTGGCAGTCACGCTTTGCACATCTCACAGCCTATGGTGCAGGTGAATAGGGGTTGTATTCTTGCCTGCTTGCTTGTGTGTCTGCTTGTGTGCCAGGCCTGCTTGCTGCCTGCTTGCCTCCTCTCCTACTCTTGCTAGCTCAACTCACATTGCTGCTGCTTTCCAGATTTTCCTGCTTCATTATATTCTTTTGCAGTTTTGTATCATTGCTCCCTGGTGTTCCATCCCTTCTCTCCGCCCCCTCTCCCACCCGCCATCGATTTCACTCCTCCCCTCCACAACCTGAGCCTTTCCCTCTCTTTCTGTTCCGAATGCAGGTTACTACACCTACATTTATGCCAAGTGTTTTGCAGCGCAGCTATGGAGGCGCCTTTTCGAAGAAGACCCTCTCAACCCGGAGGCAGGAGAGTTGTTACGCTCGCACTTGTTACGCTACGGAGGAGCCGGGGATCCCAGAACGCTTTTAGAATCACTTTTGGGGCCTTCGGCCTTTGATTTGAGCCATGGATCAAGAGTCGGTACAGATGCTGGAAGCATTGGGGATGGTATAAGTGGTGTTTGCCCAAGAACAGATGAGCTTCTTGAAGATATGGAAGTGTAGCCAGTATGCATTTGTTATATTCACACTGTAGCATACGCAATCGGTTTTCAATTTTATGTTGATGTGTAAGTTTCCAAGCAAAAGCCTTATATTTCACAATTAACCTTTATGATCCTAATTGGTGGACATGCGGGTTGTTACAATCCCAAGTGGGACTTAGCGAAGGATCGCTCATGGTTTATCGCAGAGTAGTGTTGCAGCGAAAGTTTGAATCTCAGGACAGAGTGAATGTAAATGACTGAGTTGATAAAAGCATGCATACATCGGGTTTATATAAGAATACAAGGGAATACGAAAGGACCTAGACTAGCCATGTACTCTAAGGGGTACATTCTCTTATTGCAGCGAAATTCAAACCGTGCAGCGCGGGAACCCGTTTCAAACCTGTTCCCGCTCTTTTCACTTCAAATGTTTCTGCCTGCATCGGTCTTGGTCAGACGGTTGCTGCGTCGCTTCGACTCTTCTGACTCCTCGACTTCGTACTCGGTAGAGTCGGCTCCTGCAGCATACAGGAATGCCTACTCATGTAATTTCATATCGTAACACTCCCCTTCATTCCTGGGCGCAGGAGGAGCTGATTCGCTTGACTACTCCGGTGAGGTCAGAGCAGTACTTGTACTGCTGACGTGGCAGGCGCTTGGTGAGGAAGTCTGCTGCCATCTTAGTAGTCGGGCAGTAGGCGAGGTCAACTTTTCCCTGGTCAATTTCGTCCTTGACGAAAAAATACCAGAGTGCGATGTGATTCGTGCGATTCACGAAACCTGGCTTGTTCGCGATCCTGATGGCGCTCTGGTTGTCGCAGTGAAGGCGAAAAGTAGGCGAGGTTGGGACTTTCGCCTCCTGTAGCAGCTCCTGCAGGTACAGGCCTTCGCGAACTGCTGCTGTCGCGGCGATGTATTCTGCTTCAGCCGATGACAGGGCAACCAGCTCCTGCTTCTGCGAGTTCCAGGAGATTGGCCCAGTTGGTTCCAAGCAAAAGACGAAGCCGGTTCGGGACCGTCGATTTGCAGGGTCAGCTGCATGATCTGCGTCCACGTAGCCGTTGAGGTTGAAGGAGGTCGTCGTCAGCGTGGAGTAGGAGAGCCCAATGTCAGGTGTGGAGATGAAGTACTGCAGGGCGCGCTCCAGGTCCAGCTGGTTCTCAGCTACTGGCTTGCGGGAATACTGCGCCAGTTGGCTAGCGATGTACGAAAGGTCGGGTCGGCAGGTGACAGAGGCGAATAGCAGGCACCCCAACTTCTGCTGGTACAATTGGAGCCCTGCGGGTGACAGAGGTTTGTTGTCCGGTTTGTAGTTGGCGCTGGGGTTGCGGTAGGGAGTTGAGAGTGGTGCGGGTGAGATGTTGAAGCGTCCCCCCAGCTGCTCTGCGTACTTGGAGGCTGACAGGTGAATTGCTTCTGGCGCGTAGGTGATGTTCAGCCCCAAAAACTGCTTCACGTTGTGGTTGATGGTGATGTCAACGCGCTGCGCCAGGTTCTCCTCAAACTGGTTAAGGAGTTTGTTGCAGGTGCGCGTGTACAGCAGGTCGTCGACGTAGACTGTCAGGAGGATGTAATCACCGCTGAAGTGAAGGCGATACATTCCCGGGTCGTGCGGCAGCTGCTTGAAGCCGATCTCCAAGAGAATTTTGTGAAGATGCTGCTGCCAGAGACGAGGCGCCTGCTTGATCCTGTAGAGGGACTTTTTCAGCTGACAGACCCTAGGATCCCCTTCTCCGTAGGTGTGAGGCTGCTCCACGAAGATGGTAGCGTCCACCAACGCGTATAGGAACGCGTTCTTCACGTCGATCTGTCGCAGTGGTAGGTGCTTAGCGGCGGCAATGGCGAGTAGAATCCTGACGGAGGTGTGACGACTGACGGGAGCGAAGGTCTGGTCGAAGTCGATGCCGTGGCGCTGGTCGTACCCACGTACGACCCAGCGTGCCTTGAATCGCTCGATGGTGCCGTCAGCGTTAGTCTTCAGGCGAAAAACCCATTTTCCGCTGAGTACCCTCCTCCCCTTCACTGCTGCACGATCGACTAGGACCCACGTGTCTCGAGATTCCAGCGCTTTCAGCTCCGCATCCATCGCTGCACGCCACTCCTTGGCGTGCGGGCCGGTCAGGGCCTGGCGAGGATTCTTTGGCTCTACGGCCCGTGCGAGGGTAGTGGCGGACAAGTGCAGGCCGAGTAGTTGCAGGCCGGACACGTTGGTGGTGTCTGTGTTGGTGGGAACTTCCACCACGTCGTCGTCTCCGCTTTCGTAGCCGGACGTTGTGGTACTTGCCTCTGCTTGGCGCCGTGACGGACCTGGCGCGGGATCGTCGTCACTGTCATCGTCGTCGTCTCCGCGCGGGCGAGGCGGGATGCTGGGGTGTTCGTCGGTGTCGTCGCGGTCCAGTGCTGCTGCTGCTGCCTCGTCTTCTGGAGTCGCAAAGCTGCGACCGCTGTTGACGTAGCCGCGTGCCTCGTTCCGCCGCTCGTCCTCGATCCATTGCATCAAGGTGAGCCGCTCGTAGAAGAGAATGTCACGCGCGGGAACAACCTCCTTGCTATCCATGTCGAGGATGAGCCAGCCCTTGAGCTCGTTACTGAGACCCAAATGAACCCCCCAGCGCGCGCGGTGAGCGAACTTGCCGATGGTGGCCGATGTAGGCCGGTACTGCACCATACACCCCCAGACCCTCAGCATGGAGGGGTCTCCCCTTGAGCCGGTCCACTTCATGTGAGGGGACAGGTTGTCCCTGTTGGCGGTAGTGGAAAGGAGGTTGTGCAGGCGCACCACGTGGTTCATGGCGTAGGGCCAGAACTTCTTCGGCAGGCCGGACTGGTTCATGAGGGCGCGCACTTTTGTCATGAGGGTGCGGTTAACCCTCTCTGCGACGCCTTGCTGCTGGTGAGCGTAGGGGAGAGAAATCTCATGCTTGATCCCCTTCTCGGTAAGAACACTCTCCAGCTCGTTGCTGCGAAATTCCTTGGCCCCATCACTGTGCCAGATCTTCAGCTTCCTTCCTGACTGTCGCTGCGCGTGCGCAAGGAAGATGCGGAATACTTCCGGAGCCTTGGAGCGGGCGTCGACGTTGGCGATCCACACATGGCGCGAGTAGGCCGATGAAGGTGAGGGTATATTTCTCGCCGTTGATACCGTCGAAGGTGAGTACGATAAAGTCGCTGTATACTTTCTCCAGCTTCTTGTAACGGTTGGTGCTCGGCTCCAGAGAGGGGTAGGCGCTGTGGGAGAGCGCAGCTGTGGGGCAGACAGTGCAAGTGACTGGGTGAGGGGTGTTGTGCGGTTCTGTTCCGTCGGGGCGCAGCAGTGCTCCTGGCGGAAAAACTTTAGCGCGGAGGCAGTTGGCGAGGGTCTGGCGCGAGAAGTGTCCCAGCCGCTGGTGCCAGAGATCATCTTCGGCGCGAATGCCGGAGATACGCTTTTAGCGAGCGTAGTGTTCTGCCGCTTCTGCTTCCGTGACTTGCGGGATCTGAAGTGGGGGTTCTTCCTCTTCTCCTGGTTCCGCTTCGTTGTCCGGCTCCTCTGCTTCTGCTTCCGCCGTTGTCTCCCCTTCTGCAGGTGCCGTTGTGAGGTAGAGGGCGAGAAAGTCGCGGTCGGGGATGATAGTGAGCGGAGTCGTGGTGCCTTCAATGAAACGAGCGAAAGGATCTGGGCGGGAGATTGGACCTAGTGAGTCCCGCGGAGGAGTTGGTGGTACATTCCCCTCCTCAATCTCCGACCAACGATCACGCCACCGATAGGGGGAGGAGGGAGGTGAGCGGGTGCGCGGGGGTCGACCGAGTGGAATGTACCACTCTTCTTCTTCTTCTTTGGTGAGCGGAGCGTCCACGTATTCGTTTCCTCCCCATCCGCCGGTGTTGCCCCATCCTTCCGTGTTGACCGTGCCGCTGGCGCTGGCTCCCCAAGCTCCCGTGGCGGATCCCCAGGTTGCGCCTTCTTCTGGTTCGTAATCCTCGTCTCCCCATGCGCCTCGTCGTGCTGACTCCTCGTCCCATCCAGCCGCGACGCGTTCCTCAAACAGTTTCTGTTTCTTTTCCGCCCGTGCCTTGTCTTCTTCTTCCTTGACGCTCAGCTCCTCTGCTGCGTCCGGATCCTTCCAGGCTGTGTCAATCTCCGTGCGGTAGACTTCGCGAGGGTAGGGGCGTGGGCGTCCCTCCTCGTCATAGTGCCGGTGTTAGCTCGTAAAATAAACCGGAGCGTCTCTGCATATGGTGTCGGTCGTTCGACACGCAGTTGGCCGAAGTCGTGGTTTGGTTCGCCGAAGATGCGATGAGTTGTCACGGCAAGCTCTTCTTGTGTCATGCCCGTAGGTTCTGCCTCGGCACTCTCCGCTTCTTGAATTGCCGCGTACTCCTTTTCGACTTGGTCTGTGCGGCTCGCCGTGGGTGTGTGGCAGGTGGTGCAGAGTCCATTGATGTCTGGGTCGTGTAGGTTGATTTCGCGGGGATGAGGGCTGCGGCGAACCCATGGCCGTCCGTCTGGGTGCTCCCATTTGCTCACGTAGGCGAACTCGAGAGGGACGAGGTCCACGAGCTCGTCGGATGAAGCTTGGCAGGAGGGTACGTCGAAGTCGAGGACGTAGATTCCGTTGATCGAGCGGGCTCGTCCGAGATATTTGAACGACTCGGGAGGGGTATCTGGGGGAGCGTATGTGAGGATGAGATCGCGTGTGGCGAGGTCCGTGGTGAGGATGACGCCGCAGTCGCGAAGTTGTCATGCCGAGAGAAGATTGAAACGAAGATTTGGGACGTAGAGTACGTCGTTGAACGAAATGTGTGTGTTACTGTCTCGTACTTGCAGGACCACGATGCCTTGCGCATTGGCGCGCAGCTGCTCGTTGTTGGCGACGGTGACGTAAGTTGGGGGGGCGCGGCTCAGGTTCGAGACGTATCTCGTGGATCCCACCATGTGCTGTCCGCAGCAGCTGTCCAGGTACCAGGTGTTGTGGTTGTCTGTGTTGTTTCTGCGCAGAAGTAGCGCTAGTCGCGGAGTCACCAGGGTCGCCTTGTAGC